AAAGAAGAAAAGTCCAGGAAAGACAGCTTCAGATAATAATACTAATCTTTTTTTGCCGGCCAGATAATAATACTCATAATTTAAATGTAACGTTTTACTCGAACTATTTATTTAAAAAAAAAAAACATTTAAACATTCGGTTAAGATACTAACCATGTGCATATGATATGGTTTATTCAGATTAACGGTACATGTTCTATTATAATTGGCATATACTATATTGTTTTGATTCAATCAAACATCATTGACATTGGAAAGATTATTAAAAGTAAAGGGAACACCATGTGACGTTAATCTGACACTTATTGCTTCTTATTTTATATTTTTGTCATCTCTTCTACAACAACTCATCAATTAAATTAAAGATTAGTTGAACCGTTACATCGTGTCAATCATTTTTGTTGCCACATTAAAAAAAAAAAAAAAAGTAATCGAGATTGCCACATAATTAATATTCTCTTAGATGACAAATTCTTATATGAGTTTGTGGATTAAAAGCTGGTTGTTGTGTATATAAAGAAATAACTAAACAACATTGTACAAAACATTATGCATCATTTAGATCCATAATTAATACTTCTATAAATACCTTAAGTGAAATTAAAACCGACGTCTTTAGCTTCGGGAGTGATCCTCATGGAACACGTATCAGATGAAAAGATGTAATGCTTTGATCAGTTTAGCTAGTTCAGAGAAAAAACATTTTGGATACAACTTATTTTCACATGAAACTAGTTCCATGAAGAACACTCCAAAACTATAAACGTCGCTTGTTTTGCTTAAGATACTTGTGTGGAAGTATTTTGGATTTAAGTAACCCTAAATATTTTGTGTTATTGGTTATTTCTTTGTGTACAAGAACCAACCTCAAAGCCGAAAATCAAATCATTTTATACAGAGAATTTACCACCAGCTTACGATTGATAATCGAACTTTGAATCTTTTTTATACATACGATAAATCCTTTAGAAAATCCACAAATTTCTACTATATTATTAGTCTTACCTTCTGGAGAAAGCAAAAATCCATTTGGTAACCCATAAATTGAAGGCATGAATTTAAATGATTCTTGATTCAAATAATTTATCACATTTGACTTTTTAAAAACTTGCGTACTTACTCCATGAGACTTTTCTAAACAATATATGAATCTAATTAAACAGTTTTGAAAATTCAGTAAACAAAAATAATACCGTAATATGAAAACTAAATCAATGAAACTTTTGAAGCTCAAGGAACTAACTTTGTCAAGACAGAGAAGATGTAAATCGAAGCAACACGATAAAAGAAAAGACTCAATTTGTAAGCAAACAAATTCAAAATCAAAACACAACGGCAAACATCTTTCACTACATGCATGTATTTCTATCAGGTAGAGCAAACTGATCAGAGGGATAGAGAAAGAGAGACGAAATAGATTAATGGAGTTTGTTCGTCACTCGATTATGATTCTTATAGTCGTAAAAAGAAAAGACTCATCAATGAAGTTAAAAGATTTTAGTTGGGCAGATACATCATCAATGGTTGTTGTTGCCATATCAAAATTGTAGTATATATTGATTGTTGCCCATAATGCAATTAATGTGTATCATAACTTATCACAATACCACTAACAAACACAACACGAGGTAGAAAAGCTATCAACAATTGACCGTAGCTAATCGAGTTTCTCGTTTAGTTTCTGCTTTGAAAGATACAGTTTCCTGAATTAGGTAAAAAAGTTGCGAATAATACAATGGTTTATCACTTAAAACCAGTTCCGTGGAAAACAATCCACACCAACCTCGAATCCCAGAAGTATAGAAATGTTTTTGTAGCGAATTTGTCACCAGTTTTCATTAAGAATCAATCAAACTTTGAATTTTCTTCACGCGTAAGATAAATTTCTTAGAAAATCATATATTTTTCCGACTCTTGATCTAGTCTTCCAGAAAAGCATAAATTCCATTACATTTGGTCCATTTCCATTACTCATCTCCCACTTAATCATTTAGTATGATCTAATGAAC